TTTTTTTCTGGCGTTTTTTTTAACAACTTTCTCTAAAAATATGGAAATGAGGCAGCACAGAGGGAACTAACCAAGTGCCACAACAGCAAATACGTGAACCAATTAGGTGTTGTGATGGACATTAGATGAGAAGAGAGCTGAAGATCTATCTATCAAGCTGTCAATAAAGACTGTTAAACCTCCACACCTGGAAGTCTAAATTTACAGAGCCGTAGTAGAAGATATTTCCCCTAAAACCTTTGAAGGACCAGGCCATAATTCCTTTTATGATGTGCATCTTTCCCTCGAAATGTTTTCAGACAAATCTGAGTTGGTTGGATAAAGTTTTACTTGTTTTTCAAATTTGATAAAGAGCAGTCCCTTGGATTTATTTTTGTGTAAACGTAGCTTTTAAATAAAGGTAACAGATTCATGAATATAATTCGATGTAAAAGGAGTATGGAGACACTCACCACTTCTAAAATACCCAATAGAAACATGTCGAGCTGAACGAGTGTGGAGTTGGTCCAGCTTTTCACTGGTCTCATGATTTGCAGAACAGTATTTGATTCAGTCATGTTTAAGTAGTTCAGCAGATCATAGTATGAACAGTCTGAAGTCTGACTGGTGGAAAACCCTGCTGGCAAAACACAAAATTGTAACTTACAGGCAAAACGTAAAACCTAAACATCAGAAACTGATCCAAGTAAAGTTCAGAAAAATAATTAAATTGTTCAAATCAAGGTCAAATTTAAAAACTCACCAATTAAAGAGAGAAAAGTTAGAGTCCTCAGAGCAGTCATGGCTGTCTGCCTTCAGTCCCAGTAAACGCTTTTAAACTGCACAGCTGCTTATATAGAACAGAGTCGTACAATAGTGTGAAGGAGAAATTAATATATGTAAAAAATGAACTGTCAAGTTCTAAAAATCCTTCTATTTGTTCCTGTGTGCTGTTGAAAGGGAAATAATACTAATCACCTCTGCATTCATGTCATGGGCTTGCAGCTGAGTCAAAAAGTCAACATGTAAGTATTAAACCAGGAGAGAGTAGAAAGGTTTTCAGTGAGCAAACTCTTCACAGTGCCCATAAATATTTAATGATAATTCAGTTGTACTTTGAAAAGTGACGCTCTAAGTCACTGATTATGAATTTATATTTTCAGGTTTTATGCAATTATGTGTGCAAACACACTCATTCACAAAATTTTCAGAAAGTTTAAGCACTGTTCAGAATGTAAAATTCAGCTATTCTTTAATTAACTCAGTTACTTGCAAAATACTTCAAAGACAACAGATCAAATACTGAAAGTGAGAAATAAAAGATTCTCAAATAAAATGTTTGATGAGGATATTCAAATAAAATAAAGGCATCCTTGTTTACTCAGCTTTCTCATAAAATGTTTGAACAATGGTAAAATATTCTTCATTTTGGCTGTGTATGGTTCGACAGTAGATTATACATTTAACACAGTTCAAGAGTTTAAAAAACATTTATAACTGTTGATAAATTATAGACATTTTTATGTATGATTACAACCTGTTTAAAATTCAATCCATGATCTACTTGGTGAGCCTGAGGATTGATCCATGTACAGTGGAGGCCCGGCTTACGAAGACCCCATTTAACAAAAAATTCAAGTTATGAAGGCACGTAACAGCAATATTTCTGCCCATGGTACGGCAAAAAAGCAAAATAGATAAAATAGAAAATTTTAAAAAATTAAATTAAATTCCATAATGTTATATACTTGTACACGTACGTATGTATGGATGCATACATATGCTTTCTTCAACCTCCGCCACCTCCTCCTCCACCAAGAACTTCGTCTTCAGCCAGCATCGCCTCACTCAAAAGGCGATGGAAAAAGGTGCTTCAACTTACAAAAATTTTGACTTACGAAAGACCCTCTGGAACGAACTCATTTCGTAAGTCGGGGTTCCACTGTAATCTATTAATCGTGATTGATGTTATGCCTGCAGTTGCCAGAAGGGGGAGCTCTGGCCTCCCTCCCAATAAAGGGAGGCCAGAGAAAGAGAAGCATTGTGTCCGAGCATCGTTATTCGTTTGTCTCCTTTTAGGTATAAAATAAGGTTGGGCTATATGTAATTAAAGTCATAGTAAATTTTCCAACCGACAGTCGTCAGTCCAATAAATGACGATAGGCGGTATATTTGCGCAGGTGACTTTTTGATGGGCGGAGCCATGTAACCCTGCATGGACTGATTTGCACATTTAGAATTTATGTTTTGTTTGGAGGGAATATTTTAACTTCGTTTCTTGTTGTTAAAAGAATAAATGACGCCAGAAACTATCTATCTATCTATCTATCTATCTATCTACAGCAAATAGTTACCAATCACTTGCAGCATGTCAGCATCTTCATTGGAAACTACAGGCAATCTCTTCATTTTGCTAGCCACCAAAACAATCACATGAATGGTTGGATAAGTTATAACCATGCAAACTACTTGCAACTTGATTGTATCAAGTAACGTTCACAGACATCCAAGAAACCCTTACCAACTGTGTTTGGGAATAGCAACAACTGGTCGCAAGATAGTTGCCAACTTGTCTCTAGACTTATGTGACTGAAGTTGAAAATAGAACCGTTTTGAGTTACTGGATACTTTTATTATACAGCAAGAAAAAAATACAACAGACTTTATTCATCCCACAAGTTGGGAAATTCATGTGTTACAGCAACCAAAACATTAATTAACCCAAGACAAAAAGCTTGAACAATATATAATAAGTCAAATAAATAGAATCTCACCAAACGTCTGTAAGGTAAGAATCACGCAGAAGAGTCATTACTGCTCCTGCATTCCTGTTGCGGAGGCCCATCCTCCAAGCTGTTGACCCTGGTCAAGTCTACTAGTCTTCAACTGGACATAACCTGATACATGTTGAGATTTTTTTGATTCTGCTCACAGGCAGCTGACAAATGTGTCTTCAGAAGAACCATTCCTCAGAGATTTTGGTCCATATTGACATGATAGCATCATACAGTTGCACATCTATGATACGAGTCTCCCATTCCTATACATGCCAAAAGTGCTCTATTGGACTGAAAGTGACTGTTGAAAATATTTGAGTACACCAAATTCATTTCTATCTCCAAAAAAACCAAATTGAGATTGTTTGAGGTTTGTGACAAAACGTGTTTTCCTGCTGAGTGTAGCCATCAGAGGTTAAGAGGCCCGTTTGGACCATTCTCTGTAAATGGCGATAGATGAGACTCAGACAAAACCCTTTGGCAACAAGAAACCTGAATTATTCTAGTTTTGTATTTTATAATTAGTCTTTGTTCTTATGTTGTTTTCACTTTCTTTTCAGTTACCTTCCAGAGTGGGTTTCCTCAAGTTTTGAAAAAGACGTGCAGTAGTTATTAACATGTTTCATCCTGCACTGCATGCATTTACTAACATTGCATAGATGATGTTTCACAACTAAAACATCTATTTTCATGCACTGATGGATTACACACACAACACGAAATCTACTCAAATTTAAATCAGAACATTTGTGGAATCCACTTTAAATATGTCAACACCACAAAAAGTGTGGAAGCAATCAAATATAAAACAAAGAACACACGATCTATGATTGCAGCCAGTCTCCTGTAGCATTCTTGCTTTCCATTCACTTCGTCCTGTCTTCCAGTTTTCTCTTGAACTGCCTTCACTTCATCAAGGATTAACTTCAGAAGGTCACAGTCACTGGGTAGATCACTTCTTTTCGGTTTCCCCTCACCCTTTTTTAAAGTTTCAGCAGAATCTGTGCAGGAAATAAAGACAATACCCAATATAATAATCAGTTACTATAATACTAATAATATGAATATGATGCTTGTCAATTATTCCCAGTTGATTATTCCATGTCAGGGGAAAAAGCTTGGAATTGTCAACGAATTTCTATGTACATGACCAGTGCCATAGAGTGGTTCATAGAGACCAAACTTAAGGTCAAACCATGGGGACTAATGGTCTGTAATTTCATTTCCATATCTCAAAAAAGAGGTTACCTTCCATGGGTTCCAGCTGAACATCAGTCTTGGCATTTTCACAGTTTTCAGCCTTCTTATAAAAACAACTAAAACCTTCAAAGTCCATTAAAAACATCACCAGCATGGTCTCCAGGACACTTACAGCCACCATTGTAAAGATGACCATGCAATAAATGGCTAGAAGTGAGATGCAGAGAGATTATGTGTCAGTGCTATTTTACAAAAGTCTGCCACAAAGAAAGATAAGATAAGAAATAAGATCTTTATTGTCACTGTTGCACAAACAATGAAAAATAGTTTAGTAGATCTTTGGTTTAGCAGCACAGAGAGCAACAATATAAATATGTGGAAAAAATATATATACAACATAGTGCAAGTAAAATGTCTTATCTGAATCCTCACATAGGATTGGCATGTCTTTTTCAGTGGACGGCAATATGTCCGCAAGAAGCAGCAGTAAGACGGAGATGGACAGAAGTATCGTCACTTTGAAGCTCAGCTTTTCCCCTCTGGCCTCACTGATGAAGAACGAAGCCAAATCCATGATCAGGAAATAGAAGAGGGGTATGATGAAATCGATCACATAAAGCATTGGCTTTCTCAACATGGACACCTGTAAAAACAGAGTCATTAGAGACAAACAGATATGGGCACCTGTGAAAGAGCTATTACTGAAATCTCATCCCAGATATCGTCTTACTTTGAATGAAACGCGGCTTTTGTTTGGAATGGTTTGGTTAGTTGAGTGTATGCCGATGTGTTTGAGTTCCCACTCTCCCCGTGTGAGCATGACTGTATCAGAGACTTGAGTAAGGAATCTTTCGTCGCTGATCGTTCCAAATGTTATAGAGTCCGCTATGAAGACAATAACAAATGACTCCAGATCATCTGCTCTGACAAAAGAGCAAGTGAACCAATTATTACAGTTAATCTGGTGTATTTTACCCTCAGAGTTCAGAGATGAAAATGTGATGTAACACGTTTGCAAATCAAAGGGGAACACGGAGAGATTTAAACGGCACGCAAAGCTCAGCCGCTGCTGAAAGTCTGCCTTCACTGAACCGTTGGAATTTACAGTGACCAGTGGACTCATCCGCATGCTCCCGTCATCAGAAACACTGCAGAGAGAAGAGGAAACGCATCAGTCATCCACCAGTAAAGTCATTAAGGGGTTGGTTATTCATCATCAAAGCTTGCCCACAGCTGGCTGTTTCAGTTTCTTTCCCTTAACCAGTGGTATTGGAGATCTTAAAAGTGATGAAATTATAAAAACAGAAAAGCACTGTTAGATTTTTAACCGCTGTGCAGTACCGTGTGAAAAGGCAACAGCTTCGTTTTTCAGCATGACAACGATCTCAAACACACTCCCAATTCAGTAAAAGCAGAACTGGATAGAAAGACACAACTAAACTCTATCAACCATTGATTGGCCTCCTCAGAGCTTGGACCTCAACATTATTGAAGCAGCGTGGGATTCTCTTAAAAGAGAACAGGACAAAAGAAGGAAACATCCTAAGAAGAGCTGTAAGTGTCCTTCAAGAAGCCTGGAGCCTACTTAAAGAAATCACAATAAAGATTGGTCGTATCAAATAGTGTCTTTCAAACTTGTTAGAATGATATGAACTCCATATAATCTTGTATACTACATTTCCGTGTATGTTTGCGCGTTACTGTCACGGTCCTGAGCAGAGATGTGCAGAAAACGTAATTAGATTACCGTTACTTTCCCGTAGGAACGCTGCGTTACTGCGTTACTAAAACCGTGATTTTTTGCGAGAATGTCTCATGACAGTGACGTAAGCGAGTGTGATGTTTGTGACAACAGCTGTGGGCAGATCAACAATGGATCATATATCGAGTGCAGAGAGAGTATGAGCGTGCAGCGTTTAAAGCGTGGAAGTACTGACCTTACTTTGAGTTTGATTCCATAAAAAGTGACAAAAACATTAGTGTCCGTTGTGCGTGGGAAGAAAACTTCTTTTTACAGCGAAGAAAAACCCCTAAACTTCCGAGCAAGCACCGAGTAGCTACGACGTAATGGGAAACTCACAGAGAAACTCGCGGATTCTTCCACTGACCGCTGCACACCTGCACCAGGGTAAACCTCCGCCTACCCCACTCCTGCTTTACAGGTGAAAATAGAGCAACAGGACCGCTAGTCTTTGACTTTATTTATTTTCTGCTGTGTTTTACTTGCATCTATTTGAAAGACTGAGTGTAAACACAAAAAATATTATATTTTATGTGCTGGAATGTGCAGAAAATAGGTTTAAATGTTAAACTAATTTCTTCCAGTCAGAGAATGTTGCATATAATTAAATTTTTGCTTGATGCATAAAGTTAAAAGATTAAAACTAATAAAACAAGTTTTAAAAAGAGACTTTTCCATTTGATTACATTTTGTATGATGATTATGCAGAAAAAGTAGAATTGGGCTGAAAGATCTATCGCTTTATCACCTATTCAGGTTGTAAATCGTGTTTTTAAAAAGTAACTAAGTATCTAAGTAATTAATTCCTTTTGAAAATAAGTAATCAGTAAAGTAACGGGATTACTTTTTTGGGGAAGTAATCAGTAATTAGTTACTGATTACTTTTTTCAAGTAACTTGACCAACACTGGTCTGTGACCCAGTGTTTTGTGTTGTTTATTATTAATAGTCTTTGCTTTTGTGCTATTTGGAGTTCTTAGTCTCTTGGTTTCTCTCTTCCATGTTTGCTCTGTTTTACTTTGACAGTCTGTGTCCTGTGTTTATGTTTCTACTTTTGCTTCCCTTGTCTCGTCCTGCCTAATCACTCCCAGCTGTGCTCTCCTCCTGTGCCTCATTCCCCTCGTTATCCCTCAGTGTGTTCTTTTTTACTTTGCCTTTTGTCTCTGCAAGTTTGCATTTGGGTCCTCTCCTGCCTGCACACAGCCAGTTTGTGACAGTTTAAATCACTGCACCCATTTCCCATTTTCCTAGCAAAATATGGCTCAAGACTTTTGCACAGTCCTGTACCCTTTTATATAACATCCCTGCAAACAAAAACTACATTTCTGCAATGAGCTATACTTACTCTTCAATAATGATTACATCAGGGAACCACAACATTGATGTCATAATGGACAGCTTTTCTATCCCACAAAACTCTGAAGGGTTCCAAGTCAGGAATTCATTTGTCCAACTCTGGAAAGAATGAAAAGCTGAGTTTTAAAAAGTGCCAGAAAAAATATGAATAATAGAAATAATGAATAAAACTTATGTAACTGCTGATTGAACAATGCTGACAAATGGACCAAAGTGATCGTCTTGGTTTTTGAATGTGCCACACAGATTCTTACCATGTGGACCCTGATTTCATTTGTGAAAGTTTGAGACTTCTCATCCTGGAAACAGTAAAGAGCAAAGAGATGAGTTATCGAGGGAATTTCCAAGGAACTGTGTTGTTCTTTTAAAAGGATCAGTATTTATGAATCCACACAGTCAGGGGTGTATTTCTTTATCCTCTAAGGTTCTGATGCTCTAAAACAATAATGCATCCAAAAAATGTTGCGCTGTGTAAAAGGTGAACCTAAATTATTTGCAAATCATCACAAGTGTGGTTGAAGATCAGACACATCCTAAGGTATAATGTTTGAAATGCTTTTCTGCTTTTGTTCAGTCCATGCAAGAAGGACGATGAGGATGCTTACCGATTCTAAAATGCCCAACAAGAACAAGTCCACCTGAACAAAGGTGCTTCTGGTCCAGTTTTTCACTGGTCGCATGGTTTCCAGAGCAACGTTTGATGAGGTCAGGTTCAAGTAGTCCAGTAGATTATAGTATGAGCACTCTGAAGTCAGACTGCAGGAAAACCCAGCTGGGAAGATGAAACATGTAGACAAGAAAAACACGTGGCCTGAAACTTCAGATCCTGCACAACTACAGGGAGAACTTCTCTTTAACATTTGGTTCCCATCAAATGTTAAAGTCTAATGTAAAAACTCACCAATTACAGAGATAAAAGCCAGAGTCTGTAGAGCAGCCATGGCCTTTTGCTCTCGCCTCAGTCTGGGTAAACCCTTTTAAACTGTAGAGTCTTACACAAAACAAAGCAATGCAAAATTGTGCATGAGACCTTTGCATTGTCTATTATAGACAAACTCCTATTTGTCCCTCTGTGTGATTGAACATGATACCGATCACCTGTACAGAACTATTGTTGAGCTACAAATGAAGCACAAAGTCAACATAAGCAGATCTCATTATCACATCAAGTCTAAATGGAAAGGTTTCCCACTTCAAGTAATGTTTGCTCAAACTGCTGTTGGCAACAACCCCCCCGTCTCATCAGGCAGTACTGATGATACCGCTAATAAGATACTGGAACTGCTGGTGGTTTGTGAAGTAAGCA